ACTTCTGGAGATTCATTTTCGACCTGGAAAAGCATTTTTCTTTTCATTTATTCAATTATCAAATTCATTCAAACCTCACATTTAGCCTTTTTTCATTATTTATATCAATGAAAAACAGTTAAGTATTTAAAAACGAAAACAAATTAAAGGTACTTTAGAGGAAGACATGTTGAACATTGGGCATTTAAGCCATGTTAAATGACATCAATGGGGATAACAGCTAAGTGATATTAAAAACCACTTAATTATATGATGCAACAAATTTAATCAAAATTGTTAGAGCTGTTTTTGAGGAAATTGTAAAAATGTGTTTCACCGTTGATATAAAATCTCAGGCATATACAAACTTTAAATATGCAATTTCACTTTTGTGCAACTTTTTGTTTTTGATCGAGACTGATAACAGACACACAGACCATTTTGCGGATTTTGGTTATTTGGACTCACAGGACTTTAAAAAGTGTATTTCCGTTGAAAACTTTTGATGTGAAAGTTTTCATGATCGCAATACCTCCCTTTACTACATATTACAAATATAGGCAAGTGAAAGTAAAAATGTGGTAAAGAATCTAAGGATCGAGTGCTGTTACCTCTTGTTAATATTGTAAATTTTTCATAAGAAACCTGTTTAATTATTTAAAATCTTTGTTCAATGCTTCCAAACAATATCAAGTTAAGGTACTTTAAAATAATTTTTCTAGGCTATATCTAATTTAGCATATGAATTAAAATTAAGCAGAATGAAATTTGAGTATGTAAATGGTTTGTCAGTAAAATAAACAAATTCTGATGTAAACTAAAATTGTATAATATATACATTTGTGACAGTTGGGAAAATGATAATAAATTATGTTTTAGTTTGTTTGTTTTGCTCAACAATAGATATATGTTATTATAAAAATTTATGAAGTTATACATTATAAATTATTCTGACATCACAATGCAATGGACGGATTTCGAATAAATCATTATAATAAAATAACAATAACACCAACAAATAAGTTCAAAAAATTGTAGACATGTACTACAAAAATTAATAACAACAAATTCTGATAATTAAAAATGTTTGGTCTACATACAATTGAAAAGATTTTTCATTAAGAAATTGGTATCAGATAAATTTAAATTTTTTAATGATAAAACAATTTTCATATGATCATAGATGTATAAGTTAAACATGATTCTTGGGGTCATGACTAGATGGATTGAGAGAGGGTACGGTAACATCTCTAAACGTTGCCTAGGAGATTGGCATATGGAGACCAAACAATGCAATAAAACTCAACAACATCTCATTTAATTTTAAAATACCTTTTTACAACACTTTTATTTATTATTAATTAAATTAAAAAAATAAATAGGGCATTGTTCACTATAATGATTCATACATAATTGGAAACTAAAAAACTATACTAACTAAAAATCTGGCCCTGGCCACAAATCTCATGTTTAACTAGTACACCGATATCAACAATAATATGGTATTGTTTTGTCTTTCAATGTATTTCTAATATATTTAACAATATAAATAGTTTTATATAAAATTATAACATTTGTAAATAATTTTTTATCTCATTTCTCAGATATATTTATTTATGATTATGGTCAGTTATCTAATAAAATTGAAATTCTTAATCAACACTATATTATCTTGAAATATTAAAAAATTATAAATTTTTTTCTCTTAAAAAATAATAGTAACAAAGTTTTGTTATAAGAATATAAAAATAACATTTTTTTTTTTTTATTATATTAGTGGCATTCCTACTTAATATAAAAGTTAAATGAGATAGAAACTAAAATATAAATTACTTTAAAAATAAAATCAATATATTTTTTTTATAATACTTGTAATCTTGATATTTTTTTTATTTTTGTAAAATATATATAAACTAAATTGATTGTGGATATAATAGTAGCACAGAATAAATAAATTTAAAAGACATTTAGAATGTCATAAGGTGGTATTAGTTTTTATACAATGGCATATATCATTCTGATTCTTTATTTACATAAAGTAAATAAATCACAGGGAATAATTGGTGGGGTTGGACGTAATGTTATCATAATCAAGGAACTTAAGCAAAATTTATACAATTTTAAATGTTGATCATACAGTTTTATCAAATCAAAGTTTTATTTCTACATTATAAAAAACAAATAAGTAAATATCGTAAACTTATTCATGCATTTTAGTAGATTAACCCTTTTCAACGCCTTTACTGTTTTCCACCTGACTAAGATTGTTTATTTAACAATTTTTAATCTAAAGCTGAGATAAATTTAGTTAGCGATGTGCTGGGTAACAGATTTTATCAGGAAGCTGGTTATAATGAGCTATACGCTTATCTGGGTACCAGATAATAAAATATTGGGAAATTAACCAATACAAGATTAAAATACCCAGGGTCTAGGAAGTTGCCAGGTGCTATTTATGAAAATTGGATATATTCCAGGTAAAAAAAAATACAGCTAGGTAATAAAGAGGTGCCCGACACAACACTAAATTTGTTTTAAAAACTAAGACAACACGCACACAAGTCATCAACTCATGAGATGTGTCAGACTGTTCACAACCGTGCAAGTTCCACCGTTGTCTTTTGCCTTCTTCCGAAATTCGACGACTATGCTTCTCACATTTAGCGATAGATTGGTCTTCTTAGGGGTTATTCTATCACTTACGCAGGCTATGATGACTAGACTTAGAAATATCGATTCTATAATGAAATGGGTGCAAAGAGTCTTAGTTTTATAAAGAAATTGAACACGCATATAAGTCAAGGATGGAGATGGGATGGCTGATGCAAGTGTAAAATATGCGTTTCACGGTAACCTTGATAAACTGAAGATTACAAATTCAAATTCCATTAGCGGGGAAAACTTTTAACTCTGGCATAATTCCTCCACCTTCTCCTCTGGATAGGGGAAAACTCTGTATAGTCTAAAAGGTGAGGAAACGGAAGAAAAAAAAAAATCAGATTTTAAGGAACAAAATTTGTTGCATTAAGGATTGGTTCTATGCTTTAAATAATTTTATGTGGCCCGCCCATCGTTCTAGTGAATTTTAAATATACTCGGTGGGATGCTGTACTGCATGGATACCCACCCAGTAGAATTTTGTTTTATATATGAGAATACTGATGATCTCATATCATTTAGATTCAATGAAATCAATCTCAGCCAATCTGTTACACACATTAAATTGTAGGCACTGAATGGGTTAATCTATTACTATTCTAAAATATATTGCAAGTAATACATATTGCACTGTTCTAGGACAGGCAGTTTTTATAGGCAACAGAAAACTGTTGAAAGAAATATATTTAATTTGTTTTCTTGTTATCATCAAAAACCACTTTGTACTTGTCAACTAAGAATGAACAAGTGATAACATGAAGTAACGAGAATGAAAGTACATATGCGGACGGACAATACCCAGGAATCCCTTGCTTGATCCAGTAAACCTTGGTTGGTTTAATTTTATGTTTTAGAAACTTTAACAAAAAAAATTAATAAAGGTCCAGCAATGTGTGATACTGTATTAGCTTGTAAGAAAGCTGAAACATTTTGTTTGACTAAAGTTATTCATGGACTGTGCAAATTCCTGCTCAAGAAAATAATTTTCTCTATGAAACAAAATTAAGAAGAAAATAGATCAATTTATATCATTAAATATATTACAATATAGTGAGCTAAAACAATATTAAAACTACAACTTATGTCAACTGTTCATTACACAATTATTAAGATTGGAAATCACACAGGTAAAATGATAGACGCAACAAGGATTTCATAATTAAGCTTCACTTAATGGTAACCCTAGTTCCAGGAATACAATTAAATAAATGAAATTAAACTATTACAGCTTATAGCTAAGTTAAATTGACACTCAATGGAAGACATATTTCTTAATTGATCACAACATGACTAAGTATAAACAAAGAAAATAAAAGCAAAAGTGGAAGATAAGCTGAATTTCATTTGATGTTTTGATTCTACATATCTTTAAATATAAATTTCTCAAATTTAATGGGGTAGTTAAAAAAATATGTTTTTCTCGGTTAATTATTAAGATTCGTTGAAATAAAAAATTAAAGAAAAATCAATGTTTATAACTAGCTAATATCAAAGTTAGCAGTTAAGCGTTGTGACAGTTCTTTAATGATTTTTTAAAAAAGAAAACAGATATAACAGTAAAAAATAACAGCTTTAATAAAAACAAACAAATAAATAAATTAATTTTAATTAACAGATCAAATTAATAATAAGGAGTCATTTTTTCATACATATGAGTTATTTCAGCCTCTTAATTTTAAAAATAATTTATAAAATATATAACTCATTAAATATTATATGTAATAAAATTTTAGTAAAACAATTAACAATAAAATCTCATTAGTTGGAAGCAGAAAAAATATTTATAAAATAAATCTTAAATCACATTCAAGATAAATTTCAAACAATTTAAGATTTGAAAACAAAACAAGAAAATGATAATATTATCTATAAGTACCATCATATCAAAGCCTAAGAAGTGATACTTTGAAACTGCCAATAAAGCATATTTTATATTCAGACAGCATTAATAGAATGAAACTACACACTATCGACTGGTGGGATTTTATAGACGTAAGAGAGGCCAATGTGAAACATATGATTTCATGACATCCAGTATCTGATGAATAAACAACTATTATTGTGATAACTTATATCACAACCAAGGCCCAGATTTTTATGCAATTGCAAATTGTTTGCATTATTTTTTGTTTAACTGCTGATCAAATATCTATATGAATTAGTACACTATGTACGATTAGCCAAATTTTATTTTACATATTTTAAGATTACATTTTAATTTGTATATATAAATATACGCACGCACGCACATCACGCACACACAACGTTTTAACAAAACGTTACACGATATTGGATATCAAGTATTTTGTACCAGAGTTTTTTCCAAGTTTTCCTGAATCGCTCTCGGACAAATTGAGTCAGATATGTCTTTCTCCAATGGTACTACCAAAGAGCGTATTTGGGAGTTTTCAGATTTATGTCCATCAGCAGCCAGAAATGCAGTTAAAGAAAAAGCACAGAAAGCTGTAGCCTCAAAGGCACCAAAACCAGAGGATAAAAAGGAGGTGTGTCACCTCTGAAGGAGATTGTTGCCGGGGTTCAAGTCGCCTCTGACGATGAGATGGAAGTGACTACATCATTAGACGTTGCCCGTAACTTGCCGACAGTGAACTTGTTGGGGTGGTACCCAGCTCAGAAATTGAGCACAAATTAAATGGTACCTCTTCAGCAGTCGACCGCTGGTGGTGAATTCATCACGCAAAAAATTCCTGTTTTGTACAGGACTGATGAAACACGTGTCCCGAAACTTAGCCGTCTTACAAAATTACAAACGAGCGAGCGCATTGCACGAGTCAGCCTTAGGCTCGGTTGGCCAAGAAGCCTTCCTTGACGTAATGAGCTATCATGAAAATTTCAATCGTGCGCGTTACTATAGTGACTTAACAGCTAGAGTCACATGCCTTAGTGGTTTGGGAGTTGAGTCTGGGCCGTTGAATTAGTAACATCGTCTCTGTGATATCAGATAATCTATGTCTAAGACAAAGATTTTTTGCATAGTTAAAGAGAAAGATTCAGTGAAGTGGATAGTGAAATTTGGAGTCAATAGGGGAACAGATAGTTTCACAATTACAATAGCAATATTTGGCAAATATCAGGTCATATATCGCTTATCCAGATTGCCGGCTAGATCGGGTAGATCCCCACCACACCGTCCATATCATCAAGTTCAAGATCGAGAGAATCGCTTGTTCCATCACATCCATCAGGTCTCCAGCAAAATGGTCGGCGAAGTGCTGGATTTAAATTATGCTATCAAGACTTTAAAAGAGGTTTTGGATTACAATCTCCTGAGAAAAGACCTGCGACCGAAGGTGGGAAAAGCTATCAAAGTGATGGAAAATTATGTAGGTAATCTTTGTGACCAGTCATTTAGTTTGGAAATCGGGTTAAAAAAGACAACCTCTCTTTAAATAATGGCATTAGTTACTCACTAGTAGCCCAAAGGGTTGTAATAAAAGCACAAAATCGACCAGCCCATAAGACAATTATCAAACCTAAAATATCATTAGAGCCGAATGAAATTTGTAACGAATTTAAGTCTTTAGTAAATCATCAAACGGATCATTAATAATATAGACCGACAGGGAGAAAGATCTCAACAAAATTGCTCAAACCATAAAAGGCTCAAGAAAAATGTCATACCATAAAATAAATAAAATAAACCCTCGTGTTGTTGTGAGAATCATTGAGGAAGACATAAATTTATAAAATATAACCGACTACATAACTGCGCAAAATGACGATATTCATTTACAAAAGGATAAAATAAGACCTGTGATTATCCTCACTACAAGAAAGAATAGCAGTCTGCATGCTGTTTTGGAGGTAGACGCGGTGACTCGAGAATTGCTATTGTATAATAGAATCAGCCTCGGACATCAGAAGGTGATAATTTGGGATTATTTCCAAATAAGAAGGTGCACCAAATGCCTTAAATACAAAACAATATCTCAAAAGATTCAACTTTATACAAACAGACTTATATGGTGAAGACGGACAGGTTCAAAATTTTAAACATATAATATATGAATGTAAACGATTTTATTTAATAAAAAGCATAGTTATCAAAAGTGGAAATTGGCCTGAGACGGAACAAAAGTTATTTACTGAATTCAAGACAAACTTTCTTAGATTTATTAGACCTATCGACTTCGACTTACCAGGGATGGGCAGCGTGGGTGATTTCTTGCTGGCTTTGTTGAATTTACCTTCTGTGTTTAATATTTAATATTCCGATTTATTATTATTTTTGTGTTTATTCTTTATGTTTTTGTTTGTTAATATATATAAATTTGAACTAAAAATGTATATCATGTAAAACTAGAAAAGAAATGTATGAAAACAATTGTAATTTATGTGGTATGTCTTTGAGGCATGGAGCATGGAGGGGAATCAAATAAACGATCCTTGTGTGGGGTTACCACATAGGGAAAAAAAAAATAATAATAAAAAAAAAATATATATGGTAGGTATAGTCTACAAATATAGTAGATTTTGTTCATTAATAATAAACTTATGATTGTTATCTTGCATAGCATATTCAATATTGCATTTTAATTTGTGGTGCACATATATATATTTTTCCTGGTGGACGGTCACCCAAATCAGGTGGTCATCCATCCAAGTGCTAACCACGCTCGGCATTGCTTAACTTGGTTACCTATTGGTCACCTTAGCCCACACGGCTACCCCAACCCATACATACATATATATCTATATAAGTAATCGTTAGAGGTAAGCCTGTAGTGTCTATAATCCTATCCAGTTAAGGTAAACAAGGCTTAATACTATATATAGAGGATTTCTAAGGAAATAAAGTTAGTTTGTTACAAACAACGGAGTGTGTTATTTCGCATCTCCTTTCTTTCTTGGGCTTCAGCAGAGATGGTTCTGATCGACGTCACAAACATTGAACAATTCGGAAGAATTGTATATGAATCATGCAATAGGCTAATCTGCGTAAACTTTTGTGCAATATGGTCCGTATCGTACGAGCTGATCGATCCGATCGTGAACCGTTTCTCTGTGCTCTACCCACAAGTCCACTTCCTACGAATAACCGTCCACATAACTCCGCAATTAGTACTAGATCATGTTAAAAAATGTCCCTACATTCCACTTCTTTTACAACATGACAAAAGTCGGTAGTTTTGAGGGCGACAACCCCGAAAAACTAGGCGACTATCTTCACCGATTAACTCAGGACCCCACCATTCCTATAGAATCAATGGAGGATTGATTTGCTTTAAGCGTCCCGTTAAGAAGATTTCCATCACGTAGACATCCCCCACCTTCCAGTAGGGAGAGGAAGCTTCCTCCGCTTCCAGAACATAACGAAGAAAACGAAGAGTAACTTAAACATTTCTTATATTCTTCTGTACTGATTTGTGGATTATGAAATAATAATGAATTGACCTGGAAATCGAGCGGTAATCAAATAAGACAAGGAAGAATGGCTTGTTTTTTTAATTTGCTAGTAATTTATTAGAAATTGCTAGAGATGAAGCAATAACTAAAAAATTCTAATAAATTACTAACAAATTAAAAAAACAAGCCATTCTTCCTTGTCTTATTTGATCACTGCTCGATTTCCAGGTCAATTCATTATTATTTCATAATCCACAAATCAGTACAGAAGAATATAAGAAATGTTTAAGTTACTCTTCGTTTTCTTCGTTATGTTCTGGAAGCGGAGGAAGCTTCCTCTCCCTACTGGAAGGTGGGGGATGTCTACGTGATGGAAATCTTCTTAACGGGACGCTTAAAGCAAATCAATCCTCCATTGATTCTATAGGAATGGTGGGGTCCTGAGTTAATCGGTGAAGATAGTCGCCTAGTTTTTCGGGGTTGTCGCCCTCAAAACTACCGACTTTTGTCATGTTGTAAAAGAAGTGGAATGTAGGGACATTTTTTAACATGATCTAGTACTAATTGCGGAGTTATGTGGACGGTTATTCGTAGGAAGTGGACTTGTGGGTAGAGCACAGAGAAGCGGTCCACGATCGGATCGATCAGCTCGTACGATACGGACCATATTGCACAAAAGTATACGCAGATTAGCCTATTGCATGATTCGTATACAATTCTACCGAATTGTTCAATGTTTGTGACGTCGATCAGAATCATCTCCGCTGAAGCCCAAGGAAGAAAGGTGATGCGAAATAACACACTCCGTTGCTTGTGACAGACTAACTTTATTTCTTTAGTAATCCTCTATATATAGCATTAGTCCTTGTTTATCTTAACTGGATAGGATTAAAGACAATACAGGCTTATCTCAAACTATTACTTATATAGATATATATATCGTATATGCAATATGGGCCGTGCCGTGCGAGCTGATCGATCCAATCGTGGAGCACTTCTCTGTGTCCGATTAACTCAGGACCCCACCACTCCTGTAGAATCAACTGAGGATCGATTTGCTTTAAGCGTCCCGTTAAGATTTCCATCACGTAGACATCACCCACCTTCCAGTAGGGAGAGGAAGCTTCCTCCGCTTCCAGAACATAACGAAGAAAATGAAGAGTATCTTAAACATTTCTTATATTCTTCTGTACTGATTTGTGGATTATGAAATAATAATGAATTGACCTGGATCTTGAGCAATAATCAAATAAGACAAAGAAGAATGGCTTTGTTTTTATAATTTGTTGTAATTTATTAGTCATTGCTTTAAGGCCAATATAGAGTAATCTTATTAGCTCAATTCAGAGGGAAAAGAGGATGCAAAATGACACACTCGGTAGCTTGTAGCAGACTAACTTTATTTCCTTTATAATCCTCTATATTAGGCCTTGTTCACCTTAACTGGATAGGATTAAACAAATATATATATATATATATATATATATATATATGTAAATAAATATTTATATATACAAATTAAAATGCAATATTGAAGATGCTATTCAAGATAACAATTGTAGGTTTATCATTCATGAACAAAAGCCTACTACATTTGTAGACTGTTTTTATACCTAACTATACCTGTTTTAATACCTACCAACCATTATAACCTTTTATAATTCTCTTTATAGATGTTTTCTAATTGCTAGAAATCCAATTTCCTTTCTTGTTCCCACGTAAACATCATACTAAGTTTTTATTTTAGTTTGTTGGCTACGTTCTTAGCTTCTTGGCAAGAGACCATACATATTTCTGTTCATTTAAAATTCCAAAAGTATCTTTTATCATTTTCATCGATGTTGAAATCTTGGATCGAACCTTAAAACAACAGACATAAAATGTTTTTTTACAAACGATGGTAAACCACTGGTACCACCAGGTCATGTTGGTGAAACTTTAAATTAAAAAAATGGAAGAAGTTTCTATAAAATATTCTTGTCTCATAATTCTGGAAGGCATTAATAAAATTTTAAATGGCAAAGATTCAATTGTTCCATACTACATTGATATCAACCTGGTAATTTTAACTGGATATCAATTTGCCTTTATCTCGCCTGTTGATGTGAAAGGATCATTTTCTAATTGTAGAAATAATTTATAAAAGGTTTAGCAATGTTTCTGGTAATTTGTACAGAACATCAACAGCAAAGGAGACTAATTCAAATGTTTTCTATTTTACGTCATTTATTCCACAATTTATTAATTACTTTATTGTAACAACAAAAACTCGTATTAGATTATTATCCATTTATATACAGAACTTTAAAGCTTTTACATAATTATTGTTCAATATTTGTTATCTTTTATTACTATGCTTATTTAATTATGTGTTAAGACAATTTTTTTTTCCGTTTGTATATACTTTGATATTTACATTTTTTTTAATATGATTCATGTTACGGTTTCGTTACCATTATAATGTATATATATATATATATATATATATATATATATATATATATATTATAACCTTACTAGCCTTATATGTTTAGCTATTTTCTTTCTTTAGTTTAGATATAAAAACAAACACTGAAATTATAGTAATTTTCAATCCCTCCATAATTTCTTTTCGTTTCAAATTTTTTCAAAATTTATTTAAATAAGTTATTGCTTTATTATTAATCAAGTGATTAGTAAGTTTAGTATATATAAGTTGCTGCATTTTTCATGTTTTTAAAAGCATATTTCAAAGTTTTTTACTGCATATTATATGGCATATTCTGAGGTTTTTTAATGCATAAATATTCGGGCCTTGATCATAACTAATAGTGAATAGTCAAAAAAATTTAAAAACACTACAATTATGTCTCCTTGAGCCACATATACACTTGAGCATATGGTATAGGGCAAAATTGAATGGATCTGCATACCTCAGTGTGATCCGAGAGCAGTGACGACTGAGATTGGACTAAACAATATGAGTTTACTATCATCTCTCTTGTAAATCCTCTCATTTTGATGTATACCCGCCTTGAGTTCGTAGCCATTGGCTTGTTTGCAAATTTTAAACAAGTACTACAGCTCTTATGTTAATATAGTTAAAAGGAATTTCCAATCACACAACAAATCTTTTCTATTTCAAACTAATTTTTTTTTTTACAATACTCCTACATAAATGTGTTAAACAGGGTGTTTGGTTAAGTGGCCAAACTGCAAAAATGAACTAAGGACCTCAAAACAAGAAAAAAAATTTTCTCTGATGGTATATCCGCAAATGATTTGTTTAGGAGTTATTCACATCTAATGATTTTCGTTGTTATGAATTATTTACATTATGAGAAATAAATAAAACGTATTTATTTGTTCTAACTACTGTATTAATTAAATGTAAACATTATCATAGTAAATATTGTTCAAAGTGAAGTTATGTGCGCAAACGCTCTGTTTAGGAGATGGAATAGATAGAATACTAATATGGCCTTTTATCCCTAACTGTATAAAAACTATTGGCAACATAAGGATTAATACTATTTGGAATTAGCATTGGGAACTCTCGATAACATTTATCAGTTTGTAAGAGGCTTTCGCAGAGTATTCATCATTATGCCTTCCATTTATACTAATAGTGAATACTTATGTTACATTTATACTTACATACATTTATACTTATGTTGATATGGTATTTGTATGCAGTTTTTGCAATTTTAATGCTAATGCTGCCCTTCGTGAATACACCTGGCAATTTCCAAACAAGTCTATCTTTAGCCCCATGTTTCAACGTCTCAGAGAAACTGGTACATTTGCTAAAATACCACGTGCTCATGTTATTTTTGCCCCATTACGAAATGAAGAAGTGTGACTACATTACAATATTTTGATGATAATCCATCTGGTGATAAAGTAGTTGGAACAAATAAATAAGTTTTATTTAATTAATATAACATAAATAATTCATAACAACGAAAATCTTTAGGTGTGAATATCTCCTAAACAAAGCGTTTGTGGACATACATTCAGAGGAAATTTTTTTCTTGTTTTGAAGTCCTTAGTTCATTTTTGCAGTTTGGCCACTTAACCCTGAAACACCCTATATAATAATAATGTAAAAAAAATCACTCCAAATGTCTTTAACTGAGATCAGCCATCGATCCCATTACCACTCCAACAATGCCAATTGGTGAGTAAATGTATCATTAAATCTTAGGATATGTTGATATATACATTATTATCTTTGAATATATATGAAAATTTAAATAAAATTAACATTTAGACATTGATAAAATATTTACATAGATTATTAGATAGATTATACCTTCTACTAGGTCCGCACTAGCCTAGCCAGCTATTCGACCTTTTTTAATTGACTTTAATTAACACTTTTATTCATTCATGTAGCTTATTTATTATTGATTTTAATTTTTTTTTTTACCTCAAATTATAGGAGGGGATGAGACAAAATGATACTCTCGCCCCCTCAACATTTTTATTGAGTGAGGGAGAACACTTCCTTTTCCCCACCCAAAGTCTGCGCCTATGTTCTCAGGTGACTTTAATATGAAATCTTTGAAGTTGTCTGTTTCATGTCCAATTTTTTTTAACAGTAAAGCATAGCACCTCTCTTAATACAATTTCCATTACCACTATTGTTTTCTACTTTTTTGAGAAGTGCAATAAATATAACTTACAAAAACCAGCTAAAAACCAATACACCGGCACTACTACACAGCACTGACTGAGTTCCCTGTTCAGTCCATAAGAGTTCAGACCAATGGCTCATCTCTCATTTAGGGTAAATGCTTAAGTTAAATATGACTTTAAAGACATGAAAAATAAGTAAGAACTTGAATAATTTTGAATTGCATTTTAAAACACAATTTATAATTCCTAGAGGGCAGTATGTTGCCCAGCAACCTGATAAACTGAAGATAACTATTTCGTGTCCCAGTTATGGGAGCTTTTAACTCAAGCATTAATCCCCTGTCCTCCTTCCTGACCTAGGAAAAAACTCATGTAAAGATTAAAGCCTAAACTTTAACATTATCTAGCAATGCTGGTTATAATTTCACCAGTGTGGGCTGAAAAATTTATTTCATTGCAGACCCAAAAAATGAATCTCGACCTTCACAGTCTAGTTAGAATAGGCTTCGTTGTACATCTATAATAACCCCACCATCCATATGCTAACAATGGCAAGATAGGGCGTAACCAGAAAAGAAAGATAGAAAAGTTAATAGGCCCTACTACAAAGTAAGTAATCTAGGTGCAGATACAAAGTATTACTTATTTAGCCATCGATATAATTATATCATTAATGCTAATAATGCTAATTATATAATTAAACTACTACATGAAAGGGCCAGCTTCTTGCGGCTGCTCACGAGGTGGTCTGGTCGTCTGGGCTCGACTGTGGAACAGTTCCCTGATCAAAGATGCTTTTTCACGTTCAAGAGCTGTGATGCGATCACTCTTCTTATTCACCTCCTATATTTAATGAATTTTTTTTTGTAAATTACATCAATTTAATATTATCATTATTAGTTTTCTTACTTTATTGATTTATGATATAAGAAGGATTCATCAAATTCTCTAAACATTTACATACACACACACAAACTTTGGTTTCTTTATTCTAAAAAGAAATGGAGCTCTGCTTTGAGTGCTACTTTGTAGTTTTTTTTTTGTTAGCTTTTTTTTGAGCCGACTTTACCCGAACAAGCGTTACATAGCCGAGAAGTCTCATTCAGTGTCATAAAAAAAAAGTGCTAAGCTCGCCTAGTAGTTATGAAACTCGCTCAAAGTTGGTGGATGAATGTAAAGGCAATCTTAACCTTCTTTATAATAATAACAAGATAAGGGTAGAATGGGTACCTGGGCACTCAGGCATTCCAGGAAATAAGAAAGCCGATTAACTTGCTAGGAAAGGCTCAGCACAAGTGGCGGTTGCAGCAGAGCCTATTTCTGGGATAAGTCTTAGCTTTGCCAAAAGGCATATTAAGGCAATTGTGGACAGTAAATTTATGCTACATTGGGAACAGACTAGGAAACAAACTCATTCTAAGTTGTTCCTAGTACGGCTCAGTCACAAGAGAAGTAAATCACTTCTTCCAATCGACAGGAGTACCATTAGTTGTGTGACAGGATCGTACACTGGTCACTATCAATTAAATAAGCATCTTTTTAATTTGGATATAAGTGAGACTTCCACCTGCAGGCGATGTGGCCTAAGAGGATGAAACGGGCTATCACATTATTTTTAGATGTGATAATTTGGCTAGACTGCGATACTTTCACTTTGGATGTGATCGTATCATTGACCCCAAGCACTGGGAACTAATTGATCCTATTAGTATTAACAGGTCTGCAAAGGCATCTGGCCAGTTTTAATTGAGTCTAGGAAGACGCACAATAGGCCTTCTTGAGCCGCAGTGCACTCTTACGTAGGGAAAAGAGCGCCTAAAGAACTTTTCACTTTGAAAATTCATGGTGGAAGGTGAACTATAATAAATACACTTCATAATAATGAAAATAAATATAATATTGCACTTTTTACATAATTTATTCTATTAAAAAGTGTCACAATATTATTTCTTAATTGTTTTTAAAAAGTAATCTAAGAGATTTATGAAGAGAAGAATAGTTGGGGTGCTCAGTCAAAAAGGAAGGCAAAAAATAAATTATAATATTTATTTCTTGCATATGCCGACGTTTCGACCTGAAGTTCAGGCCTTCATCAGGGCTTTCTCCTTAAGTTTCAAGGGGAGAAGTGTCATTAAGTCTTAAGTGTCATTCTCCCCTTGACACTTAAGGAGAAAGCCCTGATGAAGGCCTGAACTTCCAAGTCGAAAGGTCGGCATATGTAAGAAATAAATATTATAATTTATTTTTTGCCTTCCTTTTTGACTGAGCACCCCAACTATTCTTCTCTTCATTATCCACGACAGTCAACCAATTACCAATTATAAGAGATTTATGATGGAATGTCAACTACACCTAAACTTCAATAAAATCAAAATATACTTAAAAGTAATTGTAATATAATGTCTTATTTTCCAAGAATCAGGGAGTGGGGTAGCTCAGCGGTAGGGTACTGAGTTTCCAATGCTAAAGATTCCAGGTTCGAATTCCGGCTCACAGCAGATTATTTATTATGTTTCATTGGCCGTGAGGCAACCCAGGGGTGCATAGACCCTCCTGGAACACACCCAGCCTCAATAAAGTGGGTACTCTTAATTAAAATAATTAATTAAGGGGAAAACCTGGCAGTTGAGCGTGATCTCGGTCAAATCACCTCCTTGCACAACCGTAGACCAAGAAACAGTGCTTTCCTAAATAGTGCTGAACCTAAGACCCTTCATGGGTTCTAGTGGTACAGGTTTTTTTTTTTTTTTTTTTTTCTCTCTCTAAGAATCAAATCATTATATTATTTCTTTAAATTAACTGGACAACATTAATAATTATATTGTTCATCTGCATTACTTTCAACTTTTCTTGCAATTTTATATTAAAATTTACTTCACGATTTATTTTCTGGGATATTCTACATTATTATAACTATATTATAATAATTATATTGTATTATAATAATTAAGAGCTTGATATCATTGATGTAAAGTAATAAAAAAACCTAATTAATTAACAATTCAGAGTTGTTTATTAGCCCTCTTCTAAAAACCCAACTTTTTAATCATTATTTTATTAGGAAAAAACATTTTTGATAGTGGGTTAAGAACGTGCAACATATTTGCCATAAAATAAAGCTTTAAAAAAATAAAATAAAATAAATAAATAACCTGTACCGCTACAACCCATGGAGGGTCTTGGACTCAGTACTATTTAAGGATAGAACTGTTTCTTGGTCAACGGTTCAGCAAGGAGATGATTTGACAGAGATCATGCTCAACTGCCATGTTTTCCCTTTAATTAATTACACTGGGCAATAATAAAAATATTTCAGGCTCAAAAATAGTCAATTCATATATATTTCCATCTGCTGAATTAAAAAATAACTATAAAAATGAGAGATTAGCTCTTGCTATGGAGATAAGTGACATTTTATTTTTTAGAGTCAACATATACAATTTGGGTAATTTTTTTTTTTTTTTTTTTGGGAGTTGGTATACCTGACAAATAACAAAACAAATGCTCTTCAGCTGTTTGTAAGTCATATACAAAGTAACCGTTGCTGTGACTAAGTTTCTGCTGTAATTAATGCAGAATTCCTGGTTTGAGAGTGCTGTTTTAGTGTAAAATTTGTAAAAATATTTGTGGTGAAATAACATTTTCCTCATAGAAACGCAATCTGACGCATCTAGTAAAAACTGCCTATCAGCATTATTTTGGTATGAAAGTATAAGTCTTGGGCTTCAGATATATGTTGCAACGCATGTTCAGTTACATTTTGAGAATGGATGAGAAAGAACAAACAATCTATGGCTTTCACTGTACCTATGGTTTGGTGGGAGGCTACAAATCATACAGATGACAGCTATTTCTGCTTGAATCCACCTAAAAAAGCAGGATTGTCTATGAAGAAAAGAAGAACAGTTCAGTACCTGAATCTTCGATCTGTTATTCGACCCATTCTCCATTCAGTTAGTTTACCAGTTCATACTCAACCCGAAAATTGTGTTTGTTGAAGTAGAAAATGAAGACTGTGTGGAACAAGAACTAAACAAGCCTTCCACCTCTCGTGACCCTGATCTTGAGGGAAAAGATGATAAACTGCACAGAGTGAATCAAGCGGAATTGAGATCTCATTAGAGACCTTGGCAAGTCAAAGGAGAAGGCAGAAATTCTTGGGTCTCGACTACAGCAATGGAATATTCTCGAAAGTGATGTCAGTGTCTCATGACACCACCACATAATCTCTTCAGACATGACCATCAGGGAGATATTCTTCCAGCAATTTAGAAATCTTAGAATGTAACTACCATTTTGAAAAATCAAATCCACTTTCAATGTTGTTAGCATATATAATTAAAATGTATCATTCTCTTAAACCGTTAATATGAAATACTTCCACTTAGTATATATCATAGAAACTAGAGCTAAAACTTTTCGTTGTCATATTAGTTTTTCTCAACCCAAAATTAGTAAAAATTGACTCATGAAGTGGTGGAAACATTTAAAAATTTATTTTATGTTGCCCAGTGTTATAGGTACACAGGGCCGCCATATGGCTGATGATATAGAATAAACATTTTTTCTGCCATGAGCCAGGATTCGAACCAGGGACCTTGAGCATTGGAAACTCAGTGCCCTACCACCGAGCTAACGCACTCTCTCTCCTTTCCCCCCCCCAAAAAAAGTAAAGCTTTAGCTAACTACTAAACATAGCAATCTCAGATTCGTTTGAAAGTGGAAAGGTGCACTTTGAATAGAAAGCTTTTTAAATATTTTTTAAATATATGAATACATAAGTTCAATTAATATATATAAATAAATAAAAGAATAATATAAAGTAATGACCTGAGTAAGCAGGTGGTTCTGTTGCCGCAACCTAGCGATAAGACTAGAAGAATGTGGGCTAACAGCGAGGTTCATGTGCAGCGGCAGACCGGGGTCCGTAAGGGTCGCGAGATGGCGGTTCACTTCCAAGACTCGCGCTCTCTGTAACTCGACCCTTTCATCTTGGGCCTCGCTCCACTGGTCCTAAATCATAGTTCAGTTTAAAATAAATAATATGTTAACAAACTTAAAAAATAAGATAACTTAATTTCCAACCGACTTATATTCAAAGCTTCGTAAAAAATATTTTAAAAACACATTTATAAATAGATCAATATGAGAACATCCAACTATTAACATAAAAAATTAGAAGACAAATGATAAAATCATTAAAAAGGGTTTAGCACATCAAATACCTAGGGTTCCATAGTTCTTGCCCAGTGGAAATAAAAATAGTGATATTATTCCAAAAACCAAAAGAAATATATATAAAAGTATAGTATTAAGCGTTATGACAAATAACGCTGATTCAGATTCATTTTCGACCTAAATCAACATTTTCCCTTTTTTCTCCATTTCCTAATTATCAAATTCTTTCATAATTTATATTTAGTCATTTTTTATAGTTACTGTCAATAAAAGAGAGTATTTTTTTTTTTTAAATAAACAAAATTAATGGTACTTTAGAGGAAGACATATATGAGCATTGAGCATTAAGCCCAGACATCAACGTGGATAACAACTAGCTGATATTAAAAATAACTTAATAATAGACTGATGTTCAGAGTTTAATTAAAATAGTAAGAGCCGTTTTCGAGGAAATTATAAAAATGTGTTACACTTTCCGTTAGCCTATTTCGACAAAAATGTTGCTGTAACATCTGATGCATATAACCTTAAATATTCAATTTCATTTACTTATGACTTTTCGTGAGCTAGACTGTAAACATACACACACCGAACCCCATAACCCTGATTGACAATAAAAAAATCTGGTGTGGTGCGCGCATCCACAACTTTCACTTATCACTCTCTTCTTATGAGAAATAAGTATTTTCAGACAAAGGAGAAGTGAAAGTAAATATTATAAACGCTATATTGATTTACATTTTATTGTAGATATTTTTATTTGTTTAAGTACCCTTATATATAATTTTATATATCGCTATATACAAATTTTAATATTTATATCGCTGTAATCTATACAATAAAATATTAAATAATACCAACGAAAACACTTAGGAAAACGCAAATATATATGTACATAATATTGCTAGATTCCGTATTTTATTACGCTCATGTTACGTATGGAAGCCTGTTCTAATCTTCGGGCCAGCTTTACCGCGTTTGTATCCCTTTGGTTCCTTCATTACAACTATTCTGTTACCATTTCATATTTACTCTTTAGTTAATTATCAAATTTTTTCATATTTTATTTTTAACTATTTTTTACATTAGAGATTAATGTGAAATGGTTAATTGTTTCAAATAAAAAAAATTAAAGAACTTTAGAGGAAGCTAATATTGAAAATTAGCCATTTAAGCCCTGTTAAAAACTGCTTAATTTTACACTGATATAATGAATTTAATCAAAATCGTCGTTTCAAGAAAATAGTAAAAATGTGTTTCATCGATGATATAATGTGCCACTTCCGATTAGCAGATTTTTACAAAAAAGTTGCTGTAACATCTCAGGTATATACAAACCTTAAATATGTAATTTTACTTTCATACGAATTTTTGTTTTTGAGCTAGACCTGTCACATCCATACAGATACAAGCACACACAGACCAATTTGCTTTACTTAATTATTAGGACTCAACAGACCTCAAAACATGCATTTCTGTTGAAAACTCAAATTAAAAAATTTTCACGAACGCAATACTATCCCTGACTATATATTTTATATATAGATAAGTGAAAGTAAAAATGAAGATTAAAACAGAATACAAAATTGATCAGAAAAATCTTAAAATTTATCCAACTTAACAGAATATATTAAAAACAGACCTTTTATCAAATTGGGGTTATGAAAAAAATATATATCCTTTGACCCTAGTGGAGCATAGAGCTTTGAGGGAGTTTCATTTCCCTCTTACGGCTCCAATATGACTTGCTCTTCCTCTTCCTGCCACATTTCACTGAACCGGCAGAAGTCCATTCTACTCATATGAGTAAGATCTGCCTAGGTCATCTTCTTCTTTTACTCTTGTATGGTATCTTTTTTTATAGCACCATCACATTTCCTTAAGGCATTTTTTATCCATTTAATATATCTCACAAGAATATAATTAGGAAATTTCTGCTTACCGAGTGACCGGTCCTGCCTAAGTTGTTCATCTTATCTTGTACGGCAGTTATCTGCTTCATGTACCAATCTCTAGCTCTGTCGACAGCTTCAAGGCCTTGCATGAGGACATCCTTCTCTAGTTCTATCTGCTTCATCCTTTTCAGCTATTTTGAAAAAACCAAAAATAATATTAAAATTATATTTATAATAACTGGTTTCATTATTACAGAATTCTTTCTGAAATATAAGTATACCAAACTAATTAACAAATAAAAGGTATTATTAATTATTTTTAAATGTTAAAGAATTATTTCTAAAGAGTATTATAAATCTATTTGTTAACTCTGGTATTCACCTGTAAGTTTTAAAAGGGCAAAATTTATTATTAAAATTGTTTTGTGTTTATAATGCTCCAATTTTAATCTATAATTGATTAATTTTGCCATACCACTCATTTTGATTGGTCCCTTTGTTGACACTTAATCACTGTAGTCAACTGAGTACTTCTCTTACAATGATTTTTATATGAATCGCTCGATAAATTTAGTTAATTACAGAAATTTTCTTTTTCTTAATTTTGCACAGAACTATGATATGAAATATAAAAATAGTTTAATCCACTAAAAATATTGCACAGAAGCATTATTGATCGTAAATATAAAAAATTAACATAATTTTATTAACTTCATTCTGACTCGATAAAGTATACAGTTTACTAATTAGGTGCTCAGTAATAATTAGTAGGATTTTTGTTTCTGACAAGATGTATGATAAGTCGCAACTTGCCTTCAAGACAGAACAAGTCTTTTTCAAATTAGATATAGAAAAGAAAACTAAAACATTAAATTTCTTCTCAATATTTTATACACATGTTGCTAAGTATTATTGGAAAAATGAAAAATATTAGACTAAACTAGAAATTCCAGACAGCTGGCTGTTTCTGAGGCATAATTCCTGATTTTTAAGAAATTTAAGTCAGCTGAGTATATCTTGCTGTTAATTCTTCATTAATGATTGTAATTATGAACCTTGAAGCAAAATTAAATTATTTTGGTTTATTATTTTCAATAATCAACCATTGTGATCGACCAAAAAGTTAAAAAACTTAACCCTTCTCAAAATTTGAGGTTTCACGTTTCAGGACGTGTAGAATTCGAAAAACGAATAAAAATTTTTTGTACGTCTGTCGTCCGCGCATTTTCTCCGAAACTACTGGACCGATTTTTTTTCAAATTTTGATATAAAATTAGAGGTCACCCGAGGATGATCCTCCTTCATCAACATTACTCTCCACCTTTAACTTTCAAAATGGCGGCCGAAAAACCTGTGTTGCTATAGACTGTAGCTCCTAAACGAATGTTCAGATTTCGATGAAACTTCGCTAAAGTCATTTTCTCGACGCCCTTTAAATTTATCTATATAACTTACTTCAACGAAAAGAAGCTAGAAAAAAAGTTACGAGGGATGGTAAAATTAAATTCCGAATAACTCGAAAAGTGTTTACTTTTTTGTTGATATTGTATGATAGTTTTTTAAAAGATTATGAAATTTCCTAAAAAACAAAAAAAAATCATTAAAATCGGACAATTAGGAGCAAAGATATGGTCACCGGTTTTTTCTTATATGTTCTACTCCATATGTTATATCCTTGGTTTGGCTTTTAAATTTTAAATGTGTTACTGAACTAATGATATTTTTTTTTTTTAGTATATTACTACTGATTAAAGAAAAACAGTTTAGTCCAATAATTGGAATCACCTTTTGCTTTTTGTTTTATTATTTTTTTCTTTGTAACTCAGAAAGTAATGTTACTTTAGATGTATAATTGTTAGGAAATAATAAACCATTGTGAAATAATTTGCAGCATTTTTTTTTAGAAATTAAATAAATCTATAAAATTTAGTTCGCTTTACCATGTTATAATCTATGCCGTTCTGCAAGGTATGCCTCCTAGGTTCCCTTCTCCGAACAGTCGACTTCTTGTGCTGCTGGTCGTTGGGAGGGGCGGGCTTGCCATCGCCAACACTCCGCGGTCGTTCCACTCTTCCTCCGAGGAAGGCCCCACCGGCCGCTCTCTTCTCTTCGTCCATCATGACACCCAGCTGCCAGCTCTGTAATGCTGAGCGGATCTCAGACTTATCAACAGTCCTTTCAAGACCGACAGCAGCTCTGAAATACAATTCATTATGTAGATTGGAAAATGGTTTCTTGTGACATTGTTTAAAATAGGGATTAGTGAAAGATGAACCAGCATCAATTTAATCCAATTCCATTCCCTATTATTCCTTACAAATGCACAAATGTGTTTTTGAAATGATGTAAAAATGGTCTAGTACAATTTCATCTACTTTCATTTAACAATTAAAATTTATGTAATTGTTGATGCCTTAGGTCCCTTGCAACTGAGGGTTTACCCTCGGGAATGTCTAATCTCATTAAAATAAAGTAGGTAGAATAATAACAGTTACAGAGAACTAAGAAATAAAAAATAGTAAGTTTATATACATTTTCTGCAAATTTAGTGGTAGCAAATATGGTTTTAGCAATTATCATTTTCAACATACCTGGGTGGTTTGGGCGGACCATACAGAGGAGGTTTGATCGGAATGCCAAGAGAAGGGTCGGCGGGGAGTTGCGGCATGCTGATAGTCCTCTGTTGCGGCATACTGCTGCCGTGACACATCGCCCACGGCTGCTTCGGAGGGTCAACGTCAAGCAGGGGGGCGGAAGGTGGCCTTCCTCCAGGTTCCCCACCTTCGACGGAATTGCAGCTTCTCTTTTTCTTTTCCATCTTAAGTGGGTCAAATTTTTTTAATTCAGATTTTCAATAGTTTAATTATCGATTCTTAAAAACCTATAATTACAACATAACTTATAATTAAATTTAAGTAAAAATCTACACATTAAATTTGACTCCTCATATCTTGATTTGATATCCTAGTTTTATAACAATGAATGACTTATTTTTATATTTTATAAAATTGAAATTCTGCTTTCAATATTCACTCATATTTTATTATGGTAACCTTAAAATTTATATATGTTTGATGCAAATGGATACTTCAATAAGCAAACAATTTTTTTTATGCCTTTTAGCCTAAGCAAACAATGATCAAATAGTAGACAATTCAAGTACAAAATGGTTCCAATGATTACCTGATTCCTCAAAAGACATATTTTTAATCCGGCACAAAATCTCTCGAAAGACAATAAACCGTTCGGTGGTGTCACTTTTCTTAAGCTCTCAATAACGCCTTTTGGGAGTCCTTTGGTTCCGTCATCCTGCCATCTATTCTCAATATCTGTAATTAAATAAATGTATAAGATACTTTAAATTAAAAAAATATATAAATAAATAAATGTACTATTCTCTTATACCTAAAAATCAAGGGAAAAAAATATTTTAAAACGCTAATAATTTGATAAGATCCCTCAGGTTTTCAACAATAAATGTGTAAATAGAAAACCAAACTAACAAATTACTGTAAAAACTAGTTTTAAATACAAAAATATTCAACGATAACAACAAAAGAGTGGCTCAATATCAAAGGTGGATATCTGTCATTTAAAAAAAAAAAAAATAGAGAAGACCAATTTGTAAACTATCTTCAATTTACATCAATTCTTATTAATACACAAAATTTTAAGTTAAACCATGAAAAAAATATTTTACTCAACTTTCTGAAAATTACATTTGTCCGCCTTTGAAATGAAGCCACTCAAATATAATCATGTTATTACTTTAGAATAACTATAGTGATTAGTGTTTGTCCCGTTGTCATAACATGACCATAATCATTGCTGAATATGAGAGAACATGTAAAATTTCCAATGCTTTCAAAATATTTTTTCTACTCTTATATATATACACTATATACTATATATACTCTTATATAGGACATCAGAGAACATACAATTTTATATGTACTTACAATACAAAACAGTTGTTGCTGCCATTTCATGCCAAATATAATTTTTTTATGATAGAGCTCTCCTCGAAAATATTTGTATTGAAGTAGAGTCTGAAGACAAGATTGCAATAAAAATATCTTATTGGACGATTTCGATTAGTTCTTTTTCATTTTGTAGGAAATTCAGGAATCTTTGAAATACTCATGGTTTTAATGAGCCGAAACATTTGTACTTATTGAGTTTTTCACAAATAAAATTCTCCATCGTTACTTTTTTTTCGGTCTCTTCTCGAGGAAAAGTATGTTTATAGATAAATTAAATGGGTTTCAAAAAGAAGACTTTAGCCAAGTTTCATTAAATTGTTACAGCTGTGTTGGTGCTACAGTCTATAATGAGACATGTTTTTTGGCCACCATTTTGAAATGAAAGACCAGATAGTAATAAAATTTGTATAAAAACACTCCTGACTTTGATTGCAACTTTCTTTCAAAATTTCAAATAAATCAGTGAAGAACTTCTAGAGATAAGCTATTTTGAACAAACTAACATTTATAAAAAGAAAAAAGTCAGTTGAGAAACAGAGGATAAAATGGTACTGAAATGTTTTGTCTTGCCAATTTATATAATGATATATCTGTGAAGATCGTGAATAGCTCGGGAAGAAAAAGAATTTTTGATAACTTCAATAATTGCACTCCAACATACTGATTGTATGAAGATTAAACTGTAGTAGATGGAATTCCAAAGGTGGTTGAAAAGGCATCAATCTTAACTGAAAAGAAACTTCAGAATTTAAAGCAAAATTACAGCCTTGAGCATTGTTTTATGTTGGCTATAAATAATAAGACTGATTGCTGTGATCACATCAATTAAACTATAGCTTATTATACACATGGGACTTGACTGGCTTAATACCCAAGCCAAGCCAACTAAACAAGATGGAGGCAACAACAGTGTTGCCACAGTTTCATATATCCAAGCATCCTCCCATTCAAGTCTGTCAAGTTACAATATTATTGGAATACAAAATTAAAACAAAATACAATTATTCAAAATTAAACATAATTCAATAATACTAACTTAAAACAGTAACCAATTATACAAACTTAAACAGAATAAAATACAAATACAATTATAATTAAATAGCATATGAAATTAAAGAGAAATGCAAAATAGTAATGTACTTGGGGATCAATTACACTCTTAAGTTGCTATGATACTCATTAGGTCTGATCTTTATTCTTGAAATCTTTTAGGAAGTTTTACTATTCCTTCTGTTCTAGTTTGATAACCTTCAGAATCATTACCATAATCATTATTACATTCTTCCCCACTAAAATTACCACAATTATTACTATTTTCTCCATTACAATCTAAATCATCAAAATTATAATTTTCTACAGTTAAATAAGATTTACAATCTATATTGGTTTTATATAGAAGTGCTTGAAACATTGGTGGTTCCTCAAATTTCCACCTAATGAACCTAGAATTTCTTCTATACATTTTTCTATTAATATCAACTATATAGGATCGAAAACCAAATTTTTTAACAATGTGTCCCCGAGCCCATAATTTTTTGAATTTGTTTCGAAACATAACCTGTGCAACAAAATTATCAGAAATTTTAGAACCTTTATCATAAAGAAGCTTCTGTTTATATTTTTGTACACGGCTGAAATCATTCTCATGAGCTGTAGGAAGAAGATCATCATTACGAATAAGTAATTAAGTTCTTAAGTTAATACACATTAACGATTCAGAAGGAGAACTGTCCAAACCTGCCACTGGTGAACTTCTATAATTTAACAGATACAAATTAAAATATTGACCGCTATTCTGGCACTTTGCCAACATACTTTTCTGTGAGACCACTTTGAGGATAATGAGGACTTACTGTTCTTATCTCTGTAGCCCACTGTTGAGCAAAGTTTTGCAATTCAGCAGAACCAAACGGGTTGTTATCTGCAATAATTATTCTAGGAATACCAAATCTAGCAAATATCGGCTTAAGTGATGCTATGATGGTTGAGCTGGATTTATCTTTAATTGGAATTACTTCCACCCATCTGGAGTAGTAATCCACAAGAATTAATTTTTTTTTTTTCAAATTCAGCTATGTCTAGTCCGACCTTATAAAAAGGGATATTAGGGATATCATGAGGGGCAGCTCTTCTTTTATCTTACTTTTTTGAAATGTTTGGCACACTGTACATCCTGACATCAAACTTACAATATCAGACATTACCCCTGGCCAATAGAAAATATTTTTTACAGTCAACTTTAATTTATTTAATCCTAAGTGGGTCTCATGTAAGAGATCTAGGATAAACCGCCTCAATTTGGCTGGTACAACTAATCTATTTTCTAAATATAATAACCCATTTTCTTCACTTATCTCATCCTGATGTTTATAAAAATTAACCACTTCAGGAGCTACAGTAGATCCTAATTTTGACGGCCAACCATTATGATAAAATTGAGCAACTTGCGAAAGGGATGGGTCCTGTCTGGTTTTAGCCACAAAAAGAATATTTTTCATCTGTAAAATTTATTGTGGCTCCAACACAATGTACTATTTCCAGCATATAGGGGTCATCACCATGATCAGTTTTGATATAATTATGCGACAAAAAATCAGTGATATACATGAATTTTCTGGGCAGGTACTTTAATTCAAACTGGTAAGGCAACAACTTTAATCGATTATTTATGATCTTACTTATATCCTTTGTAAAAATTGATGTGAAAGGCAAATGATTAGAAAAAACTGTAACACTGGGATGACCATAAATATATTTATGTAACTTGGTGAATGCAACAACAATAGCAAGCATCTCCTTTTCAATCTGTGCATAATTGCATTCAGTCTGCCATTGACCGACTAGCAAATAAAATTGGTCTATCTTCTTGAAAAAGAGCACAACCCAAGGCATCTTTGCTAGTATCAGCTTGGATTTCTACTCCTATAGCAGAATCAAAGGACCTTAATAATGTTGCATTGCTAAGAAGTTCCTTCAACTCAAAGAACTTTTGATCATGAAATGAAGTCCATGACCATTCTGTCCCCTTTTTAAGCAGCACTCGGAAGGGAGATAAAATTTGAGATAGATTTGGTAAGCGGTTCCATAGAAAATTTATCATTCCCAACATTTTCTGCAATTCCTTAACATTACATGGTGCTGATAGTTCATTAATAACACGGATTCGATCTGGATCCGGCTTATGTCCATGTAAGTGTGAACCAGGCGTAATCCGTGCAGAATTCATATAACTAGTACCGATAAAGTTTTTTTACATTAAATCTAAAATTGTTTCATACATGTTATTTCATTGCAATTACTAAAAAAAAGTCTATCCTACTTAACTTGATTTTAAAATATCAACATTTATTCTTCGATTGGGAAGTTTCTTGTTTTACTGGCATAGTTGGGAAATATTCTTTGCTATGTTACCTATTAGAGTTCATGTTACCTTTTTTGTTATATATTTCAGTAAATGTTGCGTTTGAGAAATATTCTTCCTATCATCGGTGACATATTATCAGTTGATGGTTTCTCTCTTTTATGCTATGCTCCTGTTATCAATGTATAAAACTTTGTTATTTTCTATTAACAAACATATTTAGCAGCTATTCTTTCATTTTATTACTGACAAACAATAGTTTACTTCTTAGAATGTAACAAAAGAAAAAAAAACTATAATCAAAAGGAAGTTTTATTTGCCAACTACATAAGTATAGAAATTTGATTTGATAGGGTAAAACTTATCAATGGTAAATAAATACTAAATATCATTAGATTAGCCTGAATTCCTTATTAGTATATGAAGTATTATTTTTCATGAATTTCAACTTTCAAGTTTTTATAAATACAATAGAAATAAGAAAAAGTTATCTCAATAAATTGTAAAAGGAAAATATTCAATTAACCTGTAAGTTTGACAAAACCAATTCCTTTTTCGTCCAAGATATCAAATAGTGTCCTCAAAGCTGCGACAAATTGCTTAGGAAGACCTTCGAGTGTAGGTGACTGATGGACAGTTGGTGTCATTGACATCTGGAAAATTTGAACAGAATCAAATAAAGTATTTCTTTTTTTTTTTTTAAGATACTGATCAATAGCAGTTTCTTGGTGATGTTAAGTAAATAATATCAAACAATATATGTAATGTAAGATAAATATTTTAAAAATTAAAAACAATTTCATAATATCAGTTTAAGTCCAGTGATAGGAATTGCATAATTAAGGTGTGTATGTCAGTAAAGGATGTTTTTTATAAGTGAGTACCTGTTGATTGCTAGATGGATAGTTACACAGCCTATTAGGATCTATCCTATCAGACATTCTGAAAGTTCCTCATCTCGAAATCATCCTTAATGTCAGTAAAACACTTGCACAAGACAAGACACTACAACAAAGAGTTGAGAAACACATCAGGGATAGTTTGGTGTGAGTAGTAAACAGGTGGGTGGGGGCGGGCAATAGTGGGGGAAATACCACCTTGCAGGTGGGGGAAATTTTCCCTTTTGATGGAATAATTATTTAATTATACATCTCAAACACCCTATCAAAATTAATATTATATTATAATTGAGGAAGTCGTGAGCGTTTTTATCAGTTATTCGTTATTATAACGTCATTTCTGAATTTGAATTCAATTGTAAACGTACCAGAATAACCGTTAAGATTTGAAATCCACGTGCTGATCAAGGAATGTATATTTAAATGTAAAATCTATTGTTTTTCTCTTTAATTGATCATAATTTTATTTTAAATACTCTAATTTATGAACTATTTAAGCCAAATTATAATATGTATTTTCCTTATTTGATTGAAATACATATAAAATTTTATAAAATATATTTCATTACAATTATAATACTTTTTTCAGAAGTGTATTATCATAACAAATAAATTAACTCAAAATGATAATAAATTTAAAAATAAAGCTCAATTTTTAAAAAATTGTGTCAGTTTTCAATATTTTTCCTTCTTGTAATCCTTCATTGGTTCAACAAAAGTATTTTTTCCAATTATTAATGTTTTTAACGATTTAATAACTTTTAAAAATCTTATTTTTAATATTTAAAAATGTTAGTCAAAAATAATTGAAGTATATCACTTTAATAGCAGACTTTTAACATGTACAAAAGGATGAAAAAAAAACACTTTTTATTTTATAAGTTAAATTCAAAGAAATTCTAAATTTAACCTGAATTATTTTTTATTTCTCCTCATATTTTATAGATAGAGCATATTAAAAATTTCAAGATCAAGAATATAAATTAATTAATGAAGATTTTTTTTTTTAAAAATCATCATTATTGGATTGAATTGAAGCTATCAAATAAAAATTGACATTTTTTTCAACTTACTGAAAATTTCCAATCTTCAACTTTGACATCAACTTACTCATTTATGAATATATTAAAACAAAAAAATAATTATAAAATAACAGAACGATGAATTATCAAAGAATTTAATTGAATTAACTTCCAATAATTGTATCAAACTTATGCTTTAATGTCACCAAAGTTTAAGGAAATTATATTTAAGATATATTAATGTAAAGAAATTAAATTTTAAGATTATGGTGAATTCGTTCTAAATAAACATGCAAGTAAAGCAATTCCATTCCCATTAAAAGATACGATCTTGGTGTTACTGAACTTAACCGGAAACTCTTAGCTCGTTGTTTTTTCAATAGTATTTTATTTGTCAAATTAAACAGGTGTATGCGGACAGGTGATAATTTTAACCAATAAATTAAACAAAAACTATTTCACACTTAACATTGTATAAAAATAAATATATATCATACTTTCTTCAGAATGGATTAGTAGTAAATTTATATGTTGTTATTTTAACCACTAACGGATTTCGAGATGAAGCTCCCCCAAAATGAAAAAATAATTTTTCTTTTCATTTGTCCATATTTTTAATGAGAACGATCTAACTAAAACAATTATATAATCAAAATATATTCTATTTTAAATTATAATGCATATATATCAACTAAATTTAACGATATGTAAAGATAAAATTTCAAAAAATTATTTCTATAAACATTATTTTTTTTTATTTTTCAAAGTTTTTAATTTATTCATTTGACTTTTGCCTTCAATGACCACTTAAACTTTATTTTATATAGGCAGTTTTTTTTCCTTTTCCTTCCAGAGAAATTACCGTTATTAAAGTAAAAATTTAAAAAATAAGTCACTCTCCTAAATTAAACCATGGATTCACAATCGATTTTAAGCAAGAATGTCATATTTTTAAAAAAACATATTCGCGAATTTTGATGCGAAATTGCTCAACTTTTCATGAGACGTAAAAAACATAAAAAAAAAACAAAATAAAATATTATTGAGTGATAAGTTTTTAGCCAATCAGAATGTATTGGCAATTGATATAGTAGCCAGTAGTTACGATTAATTGTACGCTAAAATTTTATGGTACGGTACCTTAAAATACAGATGGTACTTTATTATCTAATTAATATTTTAATACCGAAATTTGTATCGAATAAATATTCAATTTATTAAATTCAATTATAACAGCTGATTTACTTTTATAATAACAGCTGTTGCGTTATATTAGTTATTATCCAATTTTATCGAATTATTAACATCCGCCTGAAACTTCATGAATAGCTTTCGAATTATCCTAACCTACAACTATTTTATTTACAAAAACTCTTAAAATTGGGGCATTTTCAATCTGGAGATCAGAAAACTTTGTCTATTTAGGTACTAAAAACTCGTGTATACCCATTTGCTTTCCACTTGGATCGTAAGATAATTTTATTACAAAATAGAGAAAAAAGGTGGCCTACAAAAATATTGGGACGTTTGGGCTCTACAACCTCGTTATTTTCACATTTTGGGATTGTAGGTCACGCCAAACGGCTCAATATTTTTGAAGGCCTCATTTTTTTCTCGAGTTTGAGCTCAAATTATCTTACGATTGAAGTGGAAAGCAAGTGGGTATTTACGAGTTTTTACTATCCAATTAATTAAAAAAAGTTTGAAGATCTCCAGATTGAAAACGCCCCAATTCCGAGAATTTTCGTAAATAAAACAGTAGGTTACAATGAGGTGATGCAATTTACGAAATTTCAGACGGATGTTAATAATTTCATAAAAAGGGTTCTGTACCACGGACTATGAGGTATTTTCATATTGAATATCAGTATCTTGCTTAAATTTTAATAACATATTCAAAATCTACTCACTATTGAAAATTATATAAATTAAATGATTATGTATTTAACTAAACAATTACGTTACCTTTAAAATATATTGGTTTGATTTTAATATCGATAACTAAAAGTATATTAAAATTCATTTAATAATATAAAGTTAAAATTATTAGATGATATTTTTGTTTTCTCTGGTATTGTTCAGATGAACGTTTCATTTGAACGATTCGATGACGCATCAGTTAAGACCACTTAACACCCAATGATGACTCCCATCATTTTTCAGTTATATTTATTACCCGTATTTAAGCCTGAAATGTAAAAAAATAATAATATTAATAGTTAGGATATTATTAAATATTATCCAAAACAAAACCTCAAGTTTCTAGAATCAGTAAATACTCGACCATTCAATACCTCACCAAATCAGGCTTCGTATATAAAAATTGTTTTTTTAACATTCCATCGCTTCTTGAAAAGTTAATTAAATGTAATTATTTTTTTAATGATTATTTTGTGTATTTATTTTTAGGAAGAGAAAACCATTTATATCTATTAACTTTTACTGTTTACATATGTATCACAATCTACAAGAAAAAAAATTGAATTATTAGTCCACGATACAGACTCCTTTGTATCAAATTATTAACATCCGTTTTAAAACTTCTTGAAAGGCTTCATATTATCACAAACCACAACTTTTATATTTACGAAAAATCTAAGAAATTGGGTGTTATTCATTTTAAATTAATTAATTTATTGAAGTACTAAAAATGAATGAATTAATGAATATCCATTTGCTTTCCATTTGAATCACAAGATAATTTGATTACAAAATCTGATGTGTCCGCTCACACGACTTTTCTACCTATTTCAGAAAAGTTTTTATATCTTTATATATGTCTATCAAGAAACAAAAAAAAGTTAATTAGTTTTATTTTCCCGAAAATTGATCAAAGAATAGATTTGAGTACGATTTATTTGATAAACTAAAGCAATGTAAACCGGCTTAAGGCAGATCAGTATAAAAATTTCATTAATCACTAATATTGCTGATCAAAACTTTTTGCTATAGCCTAATTTTGTCAAAAAATAATCTGTGTTATAAGTAGAAGTAATAGTGAAGCTTGTGTGATGCAGACAACATATTTTCTTACTTTCACTCAGTTATCTTTCTAAATGAACGATTTTTATATAGTTTTGTAGGAAATTTCACTATCTTTGATAAAAATGTGTTTTTCGGACTCAGGGGCCTTTGGAACGTATAGATCTATCGAAAACTGCATATCGGAAATTTGATCCGATCGCAATACTTTCCTTTCCTAGTATAGGTAGGAAAGTAAAAAGGTGGCCTACAAAAATATTAGGCTATTTTGACTATATAATCTCGTTATTATGACATTTCTCAACATGTCCAACATTCAACAACCCCCAGGTTGAAGTCACGCCGAAAGGCCCGATATTTTTGTGGGCCATTTTTTTTTTTTACAATCCACGAAGGGTCTTAGTTTCAGTACTTTGTAAAGCCCACCTTGCACATTCAATATTATTGAGTCAATATCGAATATAATTACCGTCTGAGGGATATAATGTAATAATTATATTGCCATTTGTACTATGTATACAACGTTCAAGAATATTGCTTTAATAATATTGTCTGCGTAAGGTGGGTTTAAGGAAGTATAGTTTCTTTATGAACGACAAAGAAGTGATTTGAGGCTCAAACGCCAATTTTTCCTCCTAATTAAGAGCAACCATTTCATAGAGGCTGGGTGCGCCCCAGGAAGGTCTCCCGATGAAAGAGAATGATTTTCTGTCATCAGTTTGAGTAGAACCTGAGACATTGAACTCTGGAAGTCAGTAACCTACACACTGAGTTTGCAGGCTCCTGAAAAATAAAAACACTTTTCATTTATGATATCTGATTTGGCTAGACGTTGAATGGAACATACTTTGTTTCAGATAATGTCCAACAATATTCTTACCATTATGTTATTATTTCTTACATTTGAGGCATGAGTGTTGCCCAAAATCGGTCTTGGTCTTGCACTTTGCAAGACCAAAACTGGTAAAAAAAAATCGATTTTATGAATAAAAATTAAGGCAAAATAGTTACTAATACTTGACAATTTTAGATACTATGTGTAAATAATTGGTATAACCAATAACTTTTGAATTTAACTCTTTTAATTTTTCATTCGGGCTTAGTTAGGTTTCCCCTATCTAAAAAAAAATACAGTAACATCTCTATAATACTAAGCTAA